GGAAAATTGGGCCATATGATGGGTCTTGTTGATTATTTAGCTCTTGGGCCTTCGGAGTTTGAGTTTGGGCCTTGGTTTTGGACCAAACTAGGTTAGGGGTAAAATATTCTCCTTACCCCAAGTATGGAGTTGTGGTCATGCATTGGAACCCAATTATTAATTGGGTCTCATTTTGATGTTGACACCTCGGGAATCTGTCAACCAGCAATTGGAGTTTTATCCACAAGACTTCAGCAGTTCCAGGTGAGTCTTCTCATTATACCAATGGGTCGAAGGCACCAAGTACGGCCCATTTATCTAGTTGTGATTATTATTGCGGATGTGCTATCGATACATTATGTGTTTATGTGAAGACCATGCGGGAGTTCCCATTGCAATTAGTTATATGCGGTATACTAGTTGATTATCTGGTATGTGATATGCTAGTTGTATTTGTGATACTTGCATGGAAGATCTCGGGGGGTACCCGTGGCACTAGGGTGTAAGACCTTGGAGGATTTCCATGGCATCCTTAGTCAAGACCTCAAGGGGGGTTCCCGAGGCACTAGGGTGTAAGACCGTGGCGGGTTTCCATGGCATCCTTAGTTAAGACCATGTGGGGTTCCCATGACTTTGGGCTAAGACCATGTGGGGGTTCCTATGGAACCCAGAGTAAGACCCTATAGGGTTTCCAGAGCATCCTCCTATGTTTGTATGTATGATTTATATGACAGTGGGCTAAGACCCTGGAGGATTTCTAGGGCACCCGGAGTAAGACCCTGGAGGGTTTCCAAGGCATCCCTATTTGTTTATATGCATGACTTGTGTAGTTGATATGGATTATGTGATTATGTGTGTAAGACCTTGGAGGGTTTCCATGGCTTCCTTATATGTTGATAGGCATGGCTTACACGATTGATATGGTTATGTGAATATGTGGGGTATGCTCTGGGGAACTCAATAAGCTTCATGCTTACAGTTTTGTTTATGGTTTCAGGTAACATCGGTTTGGGAAAGGAAGGGTCCGGCTCGATCGCAACGCACACACCCGTGTTTCCGCAATATATGATTTTGGGACGAACTCTGATAAATGTTTTAATTAATCATGTTTTTGGAATGTTTGGATTTAGAAGATATCTGTTTTTTGAGTGTATTGAAAAATGAAATTTTTACCCTTGATTTTTGGGTCGTTACACTATCTTTTTGTATATTTGATTAGTTCTATGAGAATCTTGCAGCAAAAATATGTGTAACACAATTATGATTGAAGAATAAAAAAAAGAATAGACATTTAAAACAAATATTCTTTAAGCATAACATAAACAACAAAATATAACACATAAATCAACATCATAATTCTTTCAATTGCAGATGATCATTTTGTAAGACAACTATAAACCATTAAGTCGTATGGATACTATAAGATAGTTACTCGTTTGATTATAAAACTATATAATGAACAAACAATAAAATTCATCAAACCATGAAATATTATTAATATTTAATGACTTAAAACATAAACTTACAAGGAAAAACCCCTAAAACTCATGAATCCAAATTTTTATTTTAGTGAAATAAAACTCCATAATAGTTGATACGTCTAGATTGATAACATTATTGAACTTTTACTCTCTCTTGACCAATGCATGAGGACAGATCTTCTTATCATGACCAACAGCAAAACAAATCCAACATCCATGAAATGAAAAATAAAATTAAGAAAGAATAGATGAAAAAAATTAACATGAAAAAATACCTCCATTCACGATAACTCTGAAGTAGAAAGAATATATGAACATGATGAATGTAAAATATTGGATGGAAGAAAACACATACGATACCAATGTGTGT